ACAGAGTTTTTCAAAAAGTTACTTTTAACTCGAGGAGTTACTTAATTGTGGTTAGTTGAGAATCGTGTAGCATGATTATGTATTTCATCTGTGAAGGAAACTGTTTCCAGGGCCTAATCCGTGGATCGACTTCCTTCGAGGCGTGGACGTCTATCAGCAGAGAATGTACCTTCACCTATCAGCAGAGAATGTACCTTAGTCTGTAACACAGTCAAATATATTCTCAAGTAATATTCAAGCATGCCATTCAGCGTGTTAGTACGAGCTCGGGAGCAGCTTGGGAGAACAAGAAAACAGAGACTGCTTCAGGTTGTCTTCCCAAATTGACTCAACTTTATTCACAAGTACAACAGTTTATATAGAGGGTAAAATTCATGAGACAGCAGATTTATCAGTTTAAACCAGTACAGACCAAGATAAGGCAGCGTCTTCCTGCCCTTGGGTGAAGAAGCATCCTTTGTGTAGTGTATCAGTTCAGCTACAATTGTGATTATCTCAGCGACATATTTTCAAGGCACAAAACAAAGAGTTCTTAGATTAGTTCTTACACACACACACACGTAGGAAAATATTTAGTATACACATCCAGAAATGCATACACTATTATATATTGTACATATATTTATTAGTTTCAGGTTGGCCATTCTTGTATTTTGCTCGTTTGTGTTGTTGTGTTTGCACATCTCTGTTGCTTGTGGGGCTTGCACACAAGAATTTCACTCGCATGTGCTGTGCCAGTGTGCCTGCACATGTGATGTGACAATAAAAAGTGATTTGATTTGATTTGATTTGATTTGATTTGAAATCTGAAACAAACCATTTGGCCTCAACAGGCGTCTCCTAAAAGATTAAGAAACTAATGTAGCTGAGGGAGTGATCTCTGTGGTATTTCAACCTTGTACCAGCCTGTGATTCTCACACATCAATTCTTGGGTCAAAGAGAAAAATAACTAAAACAAAGGGGCCTTATTGAATGACAGAGTTTTCCTGCATAATGTCACTATAAAACAATATCCAGTAAATGCTCCCATGGTACTAAAATACCTAACAATCTGGATACTGCAACTGAGCATAAAAAAGTGTGGTGTGTTTACCAGTATTGCTTTCTTTAAAAATACAAGAAAGCCATAGTATAATTTAGCTTGTACAGCTAGCTTGTTTGTAGCCTTTCTTCATTTCATTTTTAATAACATAAACATTTGATGATTTTTTCCATTCAACTTTCCAATAAAGCTTATACTGGGAAATAACAAAATAGTTAAAATCATGTCAGTCATGTAGGTTTCTGGATGCAGAATTAATTACATTTTTTTATTATGGAAAACTGGCATTCACTTAAATAAAAATGACAAATTTTTCATGTGATACGCTGCCCAGATAAATCATGCCTTATACCCCACATTCAAGTCTTAGGAATTTAAGGTTTGGCTCTAACTTCCTATAGCAGATGAAACTGCTCATTTAAGAATTACACATGAAACAACTAAACACAGACACACACACATGGATACACGAGGCGTGTTGGCTGGATTTGATGCTCTTTCAAAGTGAGGATTAACAGCTCTTTTCTCTTTCCTTGGAACTGTCCTGTGCTCAAGGCCAAGAACAAGTCATGGGACTTACAGAACATATCAGACCTGAGCCAAGTGCTCTCATCATGTTTTTTTTTCTTTTTTAAAAATCCCTCCAAGGCACATGTGGTTGCCGATTTTGTAATATCAAAGTCAGTGACGTGCTGTAATTTAGTCCATTTGGTAATTCAAATAGGTGCAAAGGATAAAAAATGATTCCAATAGTAGGTAGAGATCTTTTAATCTCAAGACATACAAAACTCAAATTCTCCAAAGTGGATTGAAAAACTATCCAAACAGTAGATGTTTACAACTTATTTAATAAATGAATACCTTGAAGATTAAAATGAAGACTAGTAGTCGATAAAAAGGTAGGCAAGTTACTTTTAGTGTATATAACTGAAAATGAAAGCACTCATGCCTTTGCTTCTATATTTTTGTACATTTCAAAATTGTAACAAGTTTTCTGTTTGGACAAGATGTAAGTGACCAATAATCACAGCTTTTTGTCTCATGCCCTCTTCCTCTATTCTGAATTTCTTGTATGCAGAAAAGTACTATTTTCTGGAAGAACTATAGCAGTTAGTGTCCTTTACAGTTTGCCACTGTTCATTCTGTCTCTACACAGTGGATTTTTGTACACTACATGCTGTAGGCTGATACAGAATAGTTTAGCTCGGGACATTCTCAGTAGATACAGAATTTTCAACTCTTTTGTGGAATTAACAAAAGAGCTATATTTCATTTTGCTCCATGGCTGTCAGCATGACCATTGATACAGGCTGTTCTTCGAAGTGTGAATGTTAAACTTACGCGGGGAACATGTTTGGAGTTTTTTGGAAAGCCTGGAATTTACAGTTCAAACAAGAGAGATGAGTTGTTTAAGTATTAAATGAAAAAAGCACAACTATTACTTTAAGTCACTTGTAATGGACTAAGCTAATCCCAAATTAACCCTCACCAAACCCTCTTAGGTGGACTTATGATTGCAACAATAATCCCACAGTCATTTGAAGCTGATTTAGATGTACTAAAACTCACAATGGCAGCATAATGTTAACTTTGAAAGAGAATCCAAATCTGCCTTGAAGTCTAACTAGTTCACTTGTGTTGTCAGTCTACTGAGAAGAAGAAAAGCTTGGTTAGGAGGATGCTGGGATGACCTGGTTGAACTTCTCAAATCTGAGCCACTCTTGTGTAGAAACAGCTTTGAAAATGTACCGCAGGTAATGATTGCACAAGCAAGACGTGATATGACAGTAGATACTTGCAAGAACGCAACACAAGGCGTTAAGCTTGCAGAGGTATTTGTGCAGGATTAGCTTGCTTAACATTTTCCCCATCACATGCACATAGTATATTACCATCAGGTCGAGTTCCTTTATCATCTCACTGAAGCAGTAACCTGAATGTTCAAGTCTGCAAAATAGATAAAATGTATGTTTTCAGGCATGACGTCTAATTCTTCAGATCAATTGCATTAATCACTAATAAATACACACGGATATTGCAAATTGTACCTTTGTGATGTGCACTAAGTTAAGTTAAAGGTTAGTTGGGATACTGGCAACTTTTTTCCTCCAATCCCTCTTTCGTCAAATCCCTCAGATGGAAATGATAGGCTCGATTTGCTCAATGGCTGCCAAGATAATGGCTACAGACGAGTAACAGAAAACCCTTGACAGTGTAAACACATGGGTGCTATCTAAACCTCTGCTGCGTTTGGGCCGGAGCCGCTATTGACTGGTGTAATCTGCTGCATAAATCTACAGCTTGGCCCTGTCTGGCTGCTGTCTGGGTTCCGTGCACTTGGACAAAAGCGCCGGACACCTTGCCCACTGACAAAGGGCCTAGCCCTAATTGGAGTAGACAAGGCTTGCTGATGGAGCCTTTTTAAGCAATTGAACTTGGTCAATGAATCTTAGGGGACCTAATACAACATAAGGGACAGGCAGTTTGACTCCAACAACGGCAGTAGCACCAAACTGTCCTGTAGCTCCCCGTCAGCCTAAGCACTGAAGTTGGGCTATGACCCATAATGACTTTTTATCAAAGTACAAAACGGTGAAGGTGTTGATCTTGTGCCACAGTAGGGCTGTAGATGGGCCGTGTTTCATTGTTATTGTGTAATTCAGCTTTGCTTTTTAAAGGACCTGGCGCCATTCCACTGTTTTGTTTTCATGTATTAGAATAGAGAACAGGCCTCACTGTGTCTCCTGACCAAACAGTTTTGGATGAAGGACAAGCTGTTCTTCGTTTGAAAGTTATCAGGAAGGAGACTGGGTTCCTTTTAGAAAGCTATCAGGAATGTGTATGGGAAACCTGTGTGGGCCACTGGAATCTCCTCAAAGAGAAGACTATAGGACAAGTGCAAAGCCCTCACCACGGGAGAGAGGAACTGGTCTTTGTGATCAGAAATGCCATGGAAAAAGTGCGCATTGTTAGCAGCCCAACAGATTTTGTCCCTCTGGTCGTGTGATTCACCTACAAGGTCTGGGGCTCACTGACCCCCCCCTGCTGGCTGTTAGAATGCCCACACAAGTCAGTGACACTACATTTTCTTCACACTAAGTAGCCAAATAGCTTTGCTGACCTCAGATTCATAATTTTGCTTCTGTAACTTCTGTGCAACTTTTTTCAATAACTGTGCAACAATATGAATTATTGTTTCAATGTTTTCTAGTTGGACTTCACCAGACAGATCTACAATTGTTATGCTATAAGTGTATTGAAAATTAAAGCATTTTTATTCAGATCATTTTTCTGTAATTTGATAGAATTTGATATTAAAAGATGAAACTTTTGGTGTATTGTCTCTCTAGTTATTGTCACGCATTATAAGGGGCTTCTTCTAGAGCTGTGTACCTTTGTGATGTGCACTAAGCCATTGCCTGTGATCGCCATCTTGTGGTAGTTTTTTCCTCTGTTCTGGTCGCCTGTTGATCAACGGGAAATTTAAACTGATGATGTAAAAAATTAAATAAATGCCTGCTTATTTACTCTTTTTTCTTTGTCTCGTGCGTTAGGAAGTTTCCAAGGATCAAAATAATTCAAGAATAGAATTATTAAATTGCAGCCAACGTTTGAGGCATTTTGAAATCATTTCATTTTTATAGCAAGCAACACGTGATTTTCTTTTTTCTTCTTCCTTTTTTAAGGACACAATGTATGTGCCACACATAAAAATGCCTAAATTAGCGCCCTCTTCATTCTTCATGTAAACACCATTAAAAAAGGACTCCTTTTCTAATCGTGTTTACATGAAAAATGAAGATAAAAATACTGACGTCAATACAACAAATGCAGTCTAAAAAAATTAAAAACAAAATGTAAGCCGCCTTTTTCCATTTAAAATATGAATTAGTTTTTCTTTTGCGTTTTGTTCGGTAAGTCCCTTTCGAGACTTCGTAGTTCACAGCGTTGTTTCCATAGAGACAGAACTTCGTCTAGACGCAAGAGGATCTTTCAGCCAAGTTCTTCTAAGCTTCTAAGCGAGTATAGCACTAGTGCTGTATCCAGGTAGGACATTTTAAATAATTACGTATAACTTAACGGTAAATATGAGTACTTTGGATAAACGTGTTACAGTAAATGGTTTCAGCAACTGAAACTTAGCAGACCGTCTAATCATGCCTTCATTTTCACTGCTCTGACAGATAAGTAAATCGTCATGCTGGAGCTGGATGAGCCATTCACCTCTGACGAAACTGAAGAAGAACAGGAAAATGTTTCATGTCATGAAGAAGAGGTAAGGGTGTGGGCCTAAAAATACAGCACATGCATGTATGTTTCCGCTATTCTCCAAAATATTCTCTTCATTTACTATTTTTTGTCCAATTCTGCATACATTCTATCACCCGGAGAGCTGGAAATTAACAGCTATTTGTCAGGGTAGACACCTTAATTTATATCTCTACCACAAAAGCATCAGGATGATTCGTTTGAGAGCCACACATGAGCTTAGAGTGACACTGAACAGGACAGCGAAGCTAAACGGATAATGGATAGAAGATAAATTATGCACAACATAAGCTGACCCTCCGTAAATCCACTTACTGCCTTATGACTTATACATCCCAACTATTGCTTTTTCATATAGTGAGTATGGATGGGATTTAAGAAATTCTTCCAAATAAAAATAAATGGTACCAAATTGTCCAGTTCATTGGACTAATATCTCTTTAAGTGTAGTAATGCCATTTATGAATGCTGCTTAGAAAACAAAATGATAATTGCAACACAGTGACCCCAAAACCTTTGAGCTTTTGTATGTGTGGGTCACATACAGTGCAGACCCTTTTTTCCTTACTTTGTTTTTCTACTTTTGCATTCTCCCTGAACGTCTGCTGGCCTACTTTAAAATTAATCAGAAATCAATAAGGAAACCGATTGACCCATAAGCAGAATAGACAATGGATTTAGTATCAGTAAGAGTTATTGCTTCACTTTTGTCCCCACAATGCTTGCTAATATTGTTAATATTGCTTGCTTAAATTAACATTTTCCTTTTGTGGCGAAAGCAGAAATAATAATTAACCTATTTTCTGACCGCAGGCTTCAGATAATTTCCCACCAGCTCTTCTAAGCTACTTTGAAACATCAAAAACTAGAGCGGCAGTTTGTGAGAAACTTATCCTTGAGGAACTTGAAGGTAAGTAATAACTTACAGCATTTAACTAATGTGTACGGTGATAAAGCTGAGATTATCTCCTCACCATTCTGGATTTTGTCTGCACTGCCTTTGAATTCCATGTCAGACTTCACACCATCAGATTCCACTGATAATATGATGAGGCTATCAAATGAAGTCAGCAAAGATATGGTGAAAGTGAATGAACAGGTAAATTGGTCTTAACGGTCTAATCTTGGTTGTTATATTACATCTAAAATATGTCACGTGGCCTAATTTTTAAAAATGATTTCTTTTTACTGATACAGGTGGGTGGTGAAACAGAAAATGAGGGAAAAAAGGCTGATGGGTCCCTTCTTCAAACACGAATAGTGACACAAAATCCTTTGACTCACAATATGTCCATGTGGCCTAATAATGAAGGTAGATAACATGTACATGTGTATTGTTTGGGACAAAGACACCATTGTTGTAGTTTTGCTTCTGTACATCACCACAATTGATTGTAGATCAAACAACCAGCATGTGCTTGAAGTACACAGGCCAATAGCTAAACTGGACTCAAACGTTTTTACAGTGTTTTATTATGAAGTCAACAGGTGAATTTGTGGCAAAGTGTTACTAATGATGCGGCCGTGGGTCAGTGGGGGTGAAGGGGGAATTGGCAGGTTGCGACGGGGATGGAGCGGGTGCATCTGGGAAGAAAGGAGAACAAGGTTAAGAAGGCGCCAGACGCAGGGTATTTAGCGGAGGTGGTAATGACTGACAATGCTTACTGATAGTCAGGGTGAGCTTGGCTTTGAGGGAGAGGCGAAGAGAATCCAGGTGAGTACTGAAAAAGGCTGGCTGACCTGAGTGCCGAGGTGGTGAGTGGTGGCTGGAGGGCAGGCAGGTGAGGTTCTTTGTATTTTTCCAGAATGCGAAAAATAATCCAAGGAGAGCTGAGGTTGAAGGCAATGGCAAAGAAGGTCCAGGAAAACTGTAGCACAGGAAACCAAAGTAGGCAACAAAACAAGTGGCAAGAGCATGGGGCAAAACCTTAGCACCGATACCAACGTGAGGTCATTGACAAACTGGCAGCAAAGGAGCGTCTGAGTGGAGCTTAAATCCTCAGCCTGATTACCCAGAATCAGCCTCAGGTGTGCAGGACTGCAGGAGAGATGATGGCTCCGCCCAGGGGTGGAGACCAAGGGACTCAGGTGCCTGGTGGAACTTTCCAGTCAAACCTCCAGATCCTGACACAGACTTTCTTTTTTGCTTCAGTCCCCTATTTCCCCCAGGTTCAAATTTAATGGGATAATTGATTGACAAGCAGTGGCCATGTGAGGCCTGATCATTTTTTTTAATTTTAAATGAAGGAGATATAATATCTCAAGTCAATTCAATTCAAGTCAATTCAATTCAATGTGTTTAATTTTTGTTTTTATAGCTTTATACTGTAATTTCAATTATTTATAATATCAGGCCAAAAGAGATGTTAGTGGAAGTGAGTGAAAAAAGTGAAGAAAAAAAAACTATCAGAGAGACAGCCAAAACTTTAGAAATGGCCAGAAAAGTGAACAACTTTGAGGTTACTGAAGTTCTGATGTTGCATAATACAGCCATAATACACTCGAAATAAAGGTAAAAGGTAACATAGTTTGCCACAAGACGTCACTACTTTCATAGAATTTGCTGTCACTCACGACTTCAGTAACATGAAAAGGTAGATAATCCTGTCTTGTGAATAGACTTTTAAATTTGCAACTGAAAGCATAAAGCTAATGGTGATCAAGCTTCCTGGAGGTATATTTTAGTTAAATCATATATAATGTAGATGGACTCAAAATCACTGCCACGTCACTGATGTAAATTAAGAAAAAAGATTAGATTTGGATCATTCTTTATGCAGGAAATTTGGTTGTTATTTGTTATTAGTGCATAACAATCAATGGAGAGGCAAGGCATGTCTTACTTTGAGCCTGATTTGAACTACATATGCATGGCTTTTCTTTCTTGCTTACTGAACTATTGAAGCCTTACATTTTTGTATTTGTCTTAGATGGAGCTGGAACAGATCGATGTTGGGAGACTGAGAAATATTTGGCCCGGGACTTTAGCAAACATGACATAGCACCAGAGAAACACTGTGATGAGGAGATGCATAAAAACGAGGAAAGGCAAAAAAGAGAAATTAACTTCCAGGAGGAGCTGAGGAAGATAATGGAGGCAGAGAAAGTAAGTTACTTCTGACTTTTTTTTCTCTCCTCGACATAGTACTTTTGGATCCAGGTGGTAGAGCAGCTATCCCATAATTGCTACGAATAAACAATAAGCTGGTCTTAAGGGTAATTACATAACCCAGCCTTACTTGGATATGGAGGAAGTGGAAAAGAGGCCTCTGATAGCCTGGTGCACCACAGAGCCATTGTTTATGTTTATGGCTGATACCTTACTTAGTAAGTACACAGACTTAGTCCACAGACCGATCAAGCTCACCACAGAGGATATGAAAGGTTTGACTGTAATTGTCCACTGGAGCAAAAATTGTGTGTCTTTAGGACACTGACACACTGAGAACACCATCCCCAAAGACACAGTGGGCAGAGAAGCAGAAGATCATCATATCAAGAAGAGCCTGAGTAAATGTGGTTATCCAGCTGGGTATTTGACTACGCTGGGAAGACAACTAAGCAGTGCTAAAGTGTCATCTAAAGTGAAGACCACTGGTGATTCCTTATGTGTCTGGAGTGTCGGAACAACAGTGACACATGTTTTCATAACATTGTGTCTCTGTGGCTTTCAAATTCCAAACAAAACTCTCAAATGTTTGTCCACCCCGAGGATTGTGTCCTCTGCCTTAAACAGAGTAATATTGTGTACGCAGTTAAGGACCAAGAAGATTGAGATGAATTATGTAGGTAAACTAAACAACCTCAAGCTTAAGAAATGGCACAACACATAAGAGATAGCTTGTCTAGCCTGGACTCTACAGTCTATTTACAGCATTAAAGCAGTGGTCACGCTTTCACTGGCACATGGAGGAACACTGATTTGAGCGTAGTAACAAAGGAACCCTCCAACCAAACATAGTTTACACAAAGATCACATTGGGAAGACAGGTCAGAAACTGATAAGAAGAACAACGAAAATACACAACATGAGGTGAGAGGAGGAGAAAAACGAACTCCACGCAGAGTGAGCTCCTAATGGGAGAACAGTTTGAGAACAGAAAAAATAATAATTAGGATAGATTGCAGATTATTATTGTGTAAGCTGTAGAGTACTGCAGCATTTTGGTAATTAGTGCAGTGTATTGTGATTGCAGTCCTGTGCTTCTACAGTAACTGTGGCAGGAGCAAGATTGGTGCTTGAGTTATTCTCTCGCTCCTTTAAAATGAACTTAAACTCCTGCATCGTAACCATTTTTGACAATTTCTGTCCCTTCTGTAGATTATTCCAGAAAACCAGGCCAGCATATTTAAAAGCCTTTTCCCCCTCAGTTCTGTTCTGATTCTCAGGACAAACATTTGTATTATGATAATATGATGGGCTGGTATGGTGTGGTACAGGCTGGTATGTACAGCATTCATCACTAAAGTCAAGGGACCTGTTGTTTTACTGTGTTCTTAAGGAGTGGGGAAAATAAATGTATTCATTTAGATGCCTCAGGATTAGATGTTTCATACCCCTAGACAAGGGTACGGAGGGCAAACTGTCACAGAGAAAATACAGAATGCAGCAAAAATGGCTGTATTAATTAACCCTGTTGTGTTTTATTTATTCTGGTTCCAGCTGCATGAAAAGGAACTGGAATTGATGGCGAAAAGAGCCCAGGAAAAACTTGAGCAGGAGATGCTGCTTCAGCAGGTAATTAATTTTTTTATTTTTTTCAAATTTGTGTGCAGTGTGACGTAGAGCACAGGCTCACCATTGTATTTTTAGACATTTGATATACTTTTGGGTATTTGTTATCAGCGCAGCATTTGGTAGAATCAATTTACTGAACATACTGGATTTATAAATCAGTGGTCCTCAAAAACACACCTTAAATTTAGTACTTATAGATGCTTTTTTCCATTTTGATTGAATACTTTTTGTGATGTTTGTAAATTCCATGTAGTTTGCTTAATATATTTCAAAGAATAGATTAAAGAAATGAGGCAACTAGTTTTTTTGTAACTCTATAAATATCATCTCTAATTAGGAACTGATTGGTAACTTACAAAAACAAGTGGAGCAAGAGAGGAGGATGATTGAGGAAGAGCAGAGAAAGAAAAACAAAGAGAAGAAAAGGAAAAAGGAAGAAGAGAAAAGGAAAAATGAAGACATGCAAGCGAAAAAGAAGCAGGAAGAGGAAGACAGAAGGAAAATGAAGGAGGAAGAAGAGAAAATTAAGAGTGAAGAAGAACAGAAAAGGAAGAAACTGGAAGAGAGGAAAAGATTGGATGAAGAGGAAAAGAAAAACATGATAAAATTAAGACATAAAGAAGAAAAGAAGCAAAAGGAGCTGTGGGAAAGGGAGGAGGTAAAGAAGAAAATGGAAGAAGAAGAGATTAGAAAGAAAGAGGAAGAGAGAAAAATTGAAGAAATCAAGGATGAGGAGAGGAGAAGAGAGATACAAGAGGTGGAGGAGATAAAGCAAAAGCAGAAGGAGAGAAAGAAAAACAGGAAAAGTGAGGACGAGGAAACAAGAATAATGGATGTCAAAAACAATGTGACAGAGGTTTCTGGAAGGAAGATGACTGAAGATCAAAAGACAAAAAATAAAGAAATAAGAAGTATTAAGGAAGAAAAGAGAATAGATAACGGAGGTGAGGAAGAGACGACAAGAAAGGAAATTGTAAGAAAAACTACAGAGCATAAAATGGAAAGAAATGAGGTAGAGCAAAGAGAAAAGCCCGAGATGAAGAAAAAGCTGTTGAATGAAGACATCAGGGGAAAAGATGAGAATAAAAGAATAGATGACAAAATGCAACTCACGGAAAGTGAGGAAAAGAAAAAGAACGATGAGGAGAGTTTGGAAAATCAAGATATGATGAGGAAGGAGGAAAAGACTAAAACAAACAAAGAAGAGCTGATTACAATGAGAATGGAAGAAATGAAACAGAATGAAGAACAAGAACACAGAAACACAGATGAAGTAATAAAACTCAAGCCAGAGATTTGTGAGAATAAAGACCAGAACACAAAAATGGAACATGAGAGGAAAAAAGATAAAGAAAAGAAGCAAGAAGAGTTGCAGAAACACCAAGAGGGGCTTAGTATAGGAAAAAAGAAGGATGGGACGGGAAACAAGGAAGATGCAAAGGATTATGGAAATGAGGTGAAGGAAAACATACAAGCAGAAGAAAGGAAAGTAGAAGAAGAGTTGAAAGAACGAGTCATAAGTAAGAATGAGCTGCGAGACAAGGAAAGAGAAAATAGCAGCATGCAATCTCAGAATACTGGCAGGATCTCACACCCAGGAGGCAACACCACGCGGACCTCAAGTGCTAATTCACTGCAGAGTGAATCTACAGCTGACCCCGTCAGCTCTGAAACTGCAAAACAACAGAACCTAAACAAGAACATCAGTCAGATCCCTGTGTATAAAACCAGTAACCGGCAAGATCCTGCAAAGCCTGGCACTTCTTCTTGCTTTTTGCCTGCAGGCCTTCCAGAGCACACAGAGCAGAAGAGGCTGTTGTGGATGAAGGAATGCATCCGTTGGTCTAATCGGTCCTGCCAGAACAGGAGGAAGCAGAAAGGATCAGTCCGGAGTAGGACAGGGCCAAGGAGGGTGGCAGAGGGTAGCAGTCTGCCCCCTCTGTGCCCACACACTCTGCTTCAGTCCACAGGATGGAGATCCCTGCAGGAGGTAACATACTGTGTGCTTAGCTGTGATCCAGGAACACTGATGAAAACGTTTTGTACTTAAATGTTTGTTGTGTTCGGAAAGAATATTCACACATAGAACCCATTATTTTCATTTGAGATCCAGAAGCGCTGAAATATGTTTGGCTCTCTTTCAGGTTACCAGCGTGACCTTGGAGGACTTACCTGGCTGTAGCCTTTTTACCCTTGCCCAGTGTACTCAACTTCAGTCGCTCACCCTCAGACGCTGTGGACTGAAATCATTGGAAGGTATCAACCACTTACAAGAGCTCTGGTACATTGACCTACAGGTGATTATATAGTTAAAAAATAACAAAAATAACAAAAAACTAGTCATTACTGTGATTTTTTTTCATGTTGTTTCAGTCATTTCAGTCACAACAGCTTTGCTTTTGTTTTGTTTTAGGAAAATGACATCTCATTTGTGGATTGTGAAAACATGAGCAGCTTACGAGTTCTTCAACTTGCCCACAACAAGCTGACTTCCATCCATGGTTTAAATGGTGCTGAGAATTTGGATATTCTTGATCTCTCGCATAACTCCATCACCCGTATTGGTGAGAACTCATGAAACACTGACAGCTATTGAAAAAAGCCCCAAAAAAGAAAAACGGATTAATTTTTTCGTCAGTATAATGTCTGAAAGTGTTTGTGTTTTAAATACTTATTTGCTAACAATGTGTGTGTAGCAGCTTGAGATAACGCGTGACTGATCCGAACACCTGGTAAGTCTAAAATCCTCAAAAAAGAGCAGCATTCACTTAACCTGAGAACAGGCACGATGCCATCGTGTTCCATGTAAACACAGAAAGTAGTATGAGTGTGAAACTTCAAAATAAAAAGAGTCTATGGAGTATGTCAAATGCATTTGGACTTCTTTATGTTTAACAAAATGAATGAAAGTTATGGCTCTTAAAGCCAGAATCCTGGTAAAAGACATGCTGCAGTTACAATACATTTCTTACATATATTTCATTTGAAATTATAAAGGACTACATTCAGAGCTTATCAAACCTGAGAAATAAACGTGAAAATGGAAAAAAACAAACAAACAGTATCTAAAATCTTTCATGCAACATTTTACTTATTACCTCACATGCTAAAGGACTATCATAGATGGACATCAGGAATTCCAAGTTTCCCTCCAGGTTTAACTAAACTTCCTCTTCTGGTCAAAAAAATCAATGTAATGTAATGTAACACAAGAGGGCAGCATCTCTCTTCTTTCCTGCTGAGGACTTCACACCATTCACTCTGCAGTGAAAACTGCAATTTTGACTCCATGTACAGACTGTACTTTTTTTTTAGACTGTATCATGTCAACTTTTAAGACTCATGCTCTGCTTTCTGCATATATTCTGTCTGCTTCCTAGCTGGTCTGGAGTCTGTAAGGAGGCTACAGAGGTTGTCAGTGAACCACAACCAGCTGATCAACACCAAAGGGATGAGAGATGTATATACACTGCTCCACCTGGATTGCTCTCACAACCACCTGGCCAACGTGGAGGGTCTGGAGAACAGTGCTCTGCTTCACACACTGGATCTAAGAGGAAACGGCCTTACTGAGGTAAAAACTCACGGCAGATGACTGGAAGCACTAAATCTAATATCACTGTTCACTGTTGCAATTTTGCGAGAGCTGCAGAGAAAGTGGTGTGGGTGTTTGAGACAGGTGATGGGCTTGAATTAAGCCAAAAATCCTTTTGCTTTTATCTACTACGTGCCCTTTTAATTGAGAAACAGTTCCCCTTATTCCAGAAGTTACGTTTAGTGATAAATGATTGTCAAACCTTCAAAAAATAAAATTAAAACCAGGCAAGTATGACAAATATAAATAAGGTGCTTAATTTCAATTAAAAAAAAAAGGAAGCTGATCCATCAGATCTAATCCAAGAAGTACCTCAGTCAAACACATGCTGTTGTTTGCTAATTCGCATTTCTCAGCTGTGAAAATAAATTTTACCTGGCCAAATTTCAAATTTTCTCCAGTCCAGCAGATGTGCTGTTAAAAATGTATATTATTGCACACATGTGATAATGGCCCACTCTATCCTCAGTAATCTTTCAGTCACAGATTAACTATGCTTGTGTTTGCCAAGCCTGAAAGTTTTATCACAGTGCTTCACAAGCAGTGTGAAAATGAACCTGACGAGCTTCGCTTGTGGCAGGCACTCATAGCAGTAGGCATAGCAGGGCTAAAACAACTGACATTGATGGATGAGGTCGTTTCGTTGCTACAGCAGGAGCAGCGGTGTGAAGTTAGTCTAACCTCACAGTGTGATGGGTGTTAACTGACGACTTTGTCCTGTTTCTTCATCAGCCCCCGAGTCTGAACAACCAGGTCCTCCTCAGAGAGCTATATCTGGATGACAACAGCGTCTCCTCCCTTCACAGCCTCGCTGCCTGCTGGCTTCCTCTAATGCAGCACCTCTCTGCAGCTCAAAACGGGTATCCAGTATTCATCCAATACTACTTGCCATCTGTCTTCGCCTAAGTTTTGTTATGTGATATATATTCAAAGTAGAAAATAACACACGTGCCACAATTTTTTCTGGCTTTTCTTTCTTTTGAAAATGTAACTTGATATAAAAAATTGCAATCAGTAGGTTCTGTAAAACCACGACGAGTCAAAGCCACACAGTCGCATAAATTCAAAATGCTTCTGTGTTTAACGGTGACATGAGCGATGCATTGAGATGTGGTCTAGCTTCTAATGTAATTTGTCTCTTATTTTCCTAGAATTACTCAGCTGCCCTCCATGTCTAATTTTGTGTCCCTTGAAAATCTGGATCTTAGATACAACTGCCTGTCAGGTAACATGTTTTCTTTATAAAATGGTGAATGGGCTGTGCTTGTTTAGCGCTGTTTTACCTTAGTGGTTCAGCAAACGTCTCTTGTTCACTGTTATGCAAGCGCTACTCCTAATAGAGCATCGCCTGCTCTGTTAGGAGCAGCTTGGCCTTCATTGTTTTGCTCAGGACAGCCTGAGTATAGAGCTGCTAATCCTGTGATTAGTGGTCAACCTGTTTTACCACCTAAGCCAGTTTAAAACCTGTGGTTTTTCTTCTTCTTTCAGCTCACCGTACTTGAACTATTGCTTTTATATTTTGTTGATCTTATTTCGGTGCCTTGTGTAAAATTTTGTAACTTTGTAACTTTGATATAAGTTCACTACACACCTCTGCTTATTTCATGTAGGTTGATATAGTTTGTAAGTTGGAGTTATATTGAAACTGAAGAATATATTGAAAAACGTGTCATGCTCTCTTTCAGACCTGCAGAATGTGTGTGAAAATCTTGAGGGATGTCAGTTCCTGCGTGAAATCCACCTCACAGGGAATCCTCTTCAGCAGGAGAGTGGCTGGAGGTAGGGTAAGCACTGGACAGAGTAAGAAAATGACATGATATACTGTCTTTTTAGAACTAAATATGTTGTTATCTGTATGTATCTGCTTTCACGACCCATCATGCAGTGATAGTGCATTGCGCTAGTTTCAGGAATCTTGAATTTTCTGGCTGCCTCTCGTTGAGACACATTTTCCTCACCTGCTCCACAGTTTCAAATCAAGATATAGTAATTAGAAATTTCTGTTCTTTTTGGAAATTATTTGGATAGAAGTTCCAGTTTCTGCCTCTTTTGCTCTTAAATATAACTTGATATGATGGGTGATCAAAGGAAAATACCACTGAAAAGTCAGTATTTGCCTATCCAAAATTTAGTCTGTGGGCTCAGGTAGTCTAAACATTCCAGCTGAACACTGGTCTCCCTGTCCACTTCCAGGATTACCGCTCTGATCTGCATTGCCTATTAGATTACCAACATCTGTATGTGTGTATGCCACACTAAGTGGTCATAATTTCCAAAATATTGATACAGCAGAAAAATCAATTATCTTTTCATTGTCAATTTGCTCATTCACTTACATTGCTTAAATATTTTACCAGTGTTAAGGCAGTTGCAATGAGTTTATATGAAAAATATGCAATGAGCACTTATATTCTTTGAGGTTCTACTGGGATGTCATGAGCGGTGATGTCAGCTGTTACAGGTTTGCAAAGTTATTTGGCTCCTCAGAGTCAGTTACACCCAGCAAAATAACCAAAATATGAAAAACTATACTAGTTTTGGAAACTTTTTGCTTATTTAATAGTCAGATTTTTATCATTGTTCGTATGTTGGAGTTACTGCCCAGCAGGTTCAATAAAAACATCAATAAAAAAACAAAACAAAACAAATGTTCTGTTAAATTTTTGCCAGTACCACTGCCAATGTTGGTTTCCATAAATGGTAAATGGCAAAATTTAACGTGTGATTAAAAAAATACAGGAAAAAGAGCCTTTAAAAATTTATATTCATTTTAAAATGGTACATTGTACCATATTTTTTTAATGATTTTTATTGTGCTGACAATATGAACATAAAATCTATTTTTTTTATCTTTAGATTGAGTTTTTAGAGGATTCTTTGCTGGAATAGGTGTAAAACTATGAGTTACTTGTGAACACTTTCTTCCTTAAGCCACAACTGAAACATTACCTTAATTTTTCACTGAACTTTACTTAACCCCCAGTGCCAACAGTAGAATTAACCCTCAATATTTCCACACTCATGCCCTTGCCCTTTCATCCTCAGCCAGTGATAACACTGGCTAAATAAAAGCTCCAAAAGGCAAGCGCTAAGAATTACAATCCCTGTAGGTACCCCTGATCCAGGAGAAATAGATGAAGAAAATACTGGCCCTGATTAATCAGAGCCGCTTAAAGAGCCTATGTTTTGGAGGAAGTCTTCACTAAATGAAATACGGAGTTATGCTTATAGGAACTGGAGAATCAGGATGAAGGATCCAAAAAAGTGTTTTAAAAGAAAAGGAGGATAAAATTTATAACAGTTTAGTAAGACTCAAGTTGAAGTTTGAGTATCTTCAGTGTACTGTAGATATAGCTGTGAATAATGAAGTCCTTATATTAAAAAGGTAATAAGTTGCTGCTATTTATCCAATTTTGTCTAATTCGGGTTTGGAGCTTCATTCTTCTTCTTCATCTATCTATCTATCTATCTATCTATCTATCTATCTATCTATCTATCTATCTATCTATCTATCTATCTATCTATCTATCTATCTATCTATCTATCTATCTATCTATCTATCTATCTATCTATCTACCTCTCTCTCTCTCTCTCTCTCTCTCTCTCTCTCTCTCACTCTGGTAAGGAAAACCTATTGTGAATATATAAGTACATGTAAAGTACTTCACATTATAAAGAAAGACATTTTCATATAAACCATTTATGAATGCATCTGAAGCAGTAAATGACCTCAACACATGTTTTGTTCTCTCTGGTGAAGTCGTGGGACAGATTTAAGAGCATACAGTACTCTGGGAATCGGTTTTAGAAAACCCAGTTCTTAATGTTTTAAAAACTGACTTCGCAGCCCAAAGGCTTTTATTTTTGCAAATTTTATTGTTGCTGTTCCCTAGTGCCCTGTAGAGTTTCCAGCTCCACATTTTCCCACTGCACAGAGACCACATTTGGCCAGTGCTCCACTAGTAGATGCTCTTAGTCTGTTTCTCTGGCAGATATTTGAGATTCCTCTGCTTGCACATCCTTAGCCTCGGGCAGTGGTTACCTCTCCCCCTGTATCACAGCCATTCAGGGCGCTCCTCCAGCTGAATGCTCACACTACCTAACATATGCACTTTGGAAAGGATTTCTATCCAAAGTGGCTGTGTAACTACACTTTTAGAAAACGGCACAAGATTAATAGTAATGAGTTCAAACAGGTTCAGATTGTAGACTCAGACAACCAATAATACCAGGGGATGACTAAATCACTGTACATATGGTCCTTTAATTAGTTCAGAGAACAAAATGTACTGTGTACAAAACAACATATACTGTGAGAGGAAAGTTAAACGGTTTCCTCAAAACACTACGGTCTAAACAGAGAATGGTTCTGCCAGCTTTAGAGAAGCTTTCTGTTGGCTGTGAATATTATTTTCTTAGTCAGGCAGTGATTGTAATTTGACAGTTATGAGTCGTATTAGTAAGTAAATAACTGGAAACAAACATAGAACTCAAATTAAACTACGTCTATTTGGCAAAACTATTTTGTGATCTACAAAATCTGTTGAGTAAAATAAGTGTCCTGTTTCATAGCCCTGACACCTCTGTGCAACCTCAACCTGAGTTCCATTCAAGTTGCCCTCATTGTCTTTGTTACCTGTTAATAGTGTTGTTTATTATAAACTTTAAAAAATCACCAAGCTGTTTGCCTTTAATGCAGAGGTAATGAGTTCATACAAAAATACAGATATACATAATACCAGTTGCAGTTAAAATGGTATAAATGATGCATTTAAAAATATTAGTAAAATCACTTCTGCACAGCTCAGGTTTTGCTGATTTTACTTTCCTTTTCAGATCCACACTACAGAAATCAGTGCCTGGCCTTAGAGTCATTGATAGCCAGGAGACAGATTCCTTTTTCTTGCCTCCAGCTGTTCAGCAGGTCAGCTCGGCCTCAGACTGCTTCCTAACTTTCTGCCAGGCTCAGCTTCAGCAGACTCAGAATTTACAGCAGCATCACAGCAGGGAGCACAGGTAAGAGACAGGCTGCCTGTGTGGATGTGCTTGCAGTGTGCTATGTGTTTAGTGTGGATAGCTGCAGGTTTTGCCAGTGGTTGGATGTGTGTTTGACCCCAGAAGTTACACTTTCTAAAGTTATCCACATTGTGGAAGAGAAAACAATCTGCAGATACAAGTGCTTATTGTGAACTCAGTTTACACAATTTCCATATTGTCAGATTTCATACTCTCACTCATCTTATATGATCTGTATTTGTAAACTAAAATATTGCAGGTAAGCTGCAGATTTCTGAAGAAGCTTGAAAGCAGATCATGGGGAAGAGGTGCGAAATGTTCAGCTTCAAATAATAAAAAAAAAATTGGTTATGGTAATAGAAAACGAATACTGTACTGCAGAATTCTCGTCTCTTCTACTGTATGCATAAAAATCAAGTTATGTTTGACTGAGAGTACTTAAGATATAAAGAGATAGGATGAAGGCATGAGGTCAAACCGAGAACAGGTTGAAAAGAAAAGAAGAATCAAATAGTAAAAGGGAATAATAAAGAACAGGGCAAAACAACAAAAATAACCCAAAACCAATGCACCAGAGGTTATATTACACTTTTTTTTGTCATGTGCTGCTGAACCTGTCAGAGATACCGCCATCAAGCAGCGAGGAATGTTAGCTATCCTCTTGTTATGTCTGATACATAGGGCGTAGTGAGCCTAAAGACAACGTCCATCTATTTTCACAAGTCCTTCAATGTCACTGGCCTCTGCACATATTGACACTCCTATACAAGGAGGACCACCAGCACTTAAAACAGTGGTCAACTTTCTGCTTATCTTCCTGACCTTTTCAAATTACACAGTACAAAAGATGAAACGTGGTGGCGGCTTCTTGTATGGGTCACATCGAGGACTCCTATGGCTTGGGGGAGGTTAGCGTGGCCCTCCCCTTGCTTCGCCCCTCACTGAGTGCCCTCTACCCTTCTGGCCTCTGGACAATGAGCCATTTTGGGGGCTTTGCAAGAGCCAACACAGCCATTTAACCCCTGGCCTGACCTTGTGTCAGACTGAGTTTTTAGGGGAGTTGAGAAGAGTGCCACACGCCAGTCAACTGGTGACTGTAAGGTGAGGTACTGTGGCGTATTAGGGCTATTACTCTCTTTTACAAGGTGTAGGGATTCTACCAAAGTGCCTCTGTTTCACCCATAAATGAGCATGCCTTACAATCCAGTCCTGTATGCCATTAAATCAAAACATTTTGTGGATGTGGTGGGAAAAAGACCAATAAACCCATCTACTACCGCAATCTCCCCACTTTTTCCACTGCGTTCTATGGCACTCAGTATTTTTTAGGTTTGAATTGCTCCTTATGTGGTTGTAATGTAAAAGAAGTGAATCAAAAATTATGTTTCTATGTTATGTGGAAAAAGATGGGTTATAGAGTTTTGCCAAAGCTAGTGTGTGAGCAGTCTGAGTTAAACAAATGAAATGAGTACTTTCCACTCATTGTGCCTTCTGTTTGTGGTACCATCACACAGTATGGTAAAGAAAAACTGCTAAGGCAAAAAGCCAAAGCTTTGAAGAATACACCAGTATTAGTCCATTTCAGATTGCTGAAGCCTCATTTTAGCATTAGCTAAATGTGCCCTGAGCATCTTGCAAAGGGTAGTGTGAACAGCAGAAGCAACTACAGCAACCTATATGTTTTTTTGTGTTTGTTTTCATCAACATTTTAGCATTATATCTTTTATCCTTTCTCCCACCACTCACCCCAGCCAGTCATGTGAGATAGTTGGCCCTGCCGGAGGTTTTCATCCCCACTGTTGCCTAGTGCTTGCTCTTAGGGGTCGTCTGATTGTTGGGATTTTCTCTCTGTTTTTATCAATTTTATTGTTATCACCAAACCACATTTTTCACCCACAATGTAGAAAAAGTGAACACAGAAGTGAAACAGTTACACAAGACTTTTGTTGTGTTAAGTATACATATCATTTCTGGAGCTGTGAGGTCTTCTATGTTCTGTTCATAGTTGTCTGACAGTTGCGACAGACACAAATTGAATTTTCAAAAGGACAGTAAACGCCTCTATAATATAACTAGTATAGGGTTTGCTGCTGGCTCAGGAATTTCTTACAGCTCTCGACCTCAGTTTTTTGTTGAGTGGCCTCCTGGGGACACCCATGTGATAAAGCAACACCAAATATCTCTAAATTTCCTGTATTGCAAGTCAGAAGACAAATAACCACTGAGAGCTTTTAGCATCTACATACATGGTTGGATATGTTCACAGGCGAGTATTAATCAGTGAATAACTTTTCATTTTCCTGTCATGAACATTGTATACTGAAGCTTTCTTTTACCCGTGTTATGGTGACCCTGGAGTGAACCAGCAGGTAGAGGGAGGGAGGGTCACTGGTGTCACAATCCTTTAAGACCTTCTGACTCTTCTCTTTCTTATCCCACTGAGAGTGAAGAGCGAGGTCTTTGTAGAGAAGGAGTTGCACTACTTGTGGCTACTGGCCTTCCAGACTGGCCGAGCGTCTCTGGCCCCTCGGGGTTTAAGACAAGGAGCGGAGCATAGCTAATAGATTAATTACGTTTCCATTGAGGTAGCTTTGTTGTCAGTTTATCCCCTCAATGAAAGAGACATTATATGGTATTAGGGCACACACAGAGCAGGCAGACAGCTCTTTCTCTCTCGCCCCCTCACCACCCCTACCCTCACATAAATATAAGGACACACTGACCACACCTATCACAGGCTGGCCAAGAATAAGAGCTAAAAATGGATATATATGTGATATTTAACTCAAAATGGAATGGCTTTGATCCTTTTTGAATGATTTAATTTTCTAACACCACCGATCACTGTGTGTTTTTAAAGAAGTCCAGACGCTTTTCTTTGCAAGCTCCTTTGACCACTTTTAGGGTTGTTTAATGCAAGAATGAGATTCTTTAAATATGTCTTCTCTATGTCCTGTGAGGTGAACTCCGTGGAGAGGATTGCTCTGATACTGTAAAAGCAGATAAGCTATAACTTTGACTTTTATGCAGGTCAGATTTAATTATACTGGTGATAAGAAGAAAATTGTTCTGTTTCCAGAATAGATTCACATACATTCTAATCACAATGAGGATTATACTACTAGTCTATAACCAAAACTCTCAAAGAAAGATTTATTTAAGTTACTTGAAGACGTTTCACCTCTCATCCGAGAAGCTTCTTCAGTTCTGCTTCTGAAGAAGCTTCTCGGATGAGAGGTGAAACGTCTTCAAGTAACTTAAAGAAGTCCAGACGCTTTTCTTTGCAAGCTCCTTTGACTACGATGACCTGGATGACTGAGAACCTTCACAGACAACCCTAAAAGTGGATAACTGCTTCTCCTGAGCTCAGAACAATATGCTACAATTACTGCTTACAGTAAACCTATTAAATAAATTTGATTGGGAACCATGTGGACTAAGATTAACTTTAATGTCATTCACTTTATTGCCATTGCACAGTCATACTTTGTGTTGTACAATGAAACTGGGGTTCCTTCCTTCATCGGTACTAAAAGAAAGGCGAACAGTAATCATGATAAATAAGATATATGCAGAGTAAGGTGTACTTGAAATGCAGAAATGAAATGGGCAGCGATAAAAATATATGTGCAAAAATAAAATCAGTTATGTAGGTCAGGTCAGGTCAGGTCAGGTATTTGCATTGATTAGGACTATTGCCCTGTTGTCAAAACTGGTCTGTATTGCCAGTTAATAATGTAACGTGAAATATTTTTGTATGTGTTTGTTTACAGCAGACTTGCATTTCCCTTTAATGATGTGCAAAGCTTCTGCCGGCACTTCAGTATGACTCTGAAGCTGGCTGAGGACCAGAGATTTGCCCATGAATATGGTGAGACCACTGTGTCTGATGAACACTGGGCTGCAAGTCAAACAGCGCCTGAGAAAACACTGGATAGTGTCACTGGTGAAGAGCTTATGGATTGCCGAGATATAGAGTCCACTAACAAATTACCACCAGTCTTTCCAAATAGAGACATCATGAGATGCAGCTATTGGAATTTTGATGAGACTCCAGCTACAGAGAGTCACTATGACACATTTGGCCCAAAACAGGGTCCAGCGACCTTCTTCAGTGATGAAAAAGCATCTGTCTCCAGCCATCAAGACTTAAACCTCAAAAAGTAATTCACTCTCTGCTTTTATCTGAGTCACTCGTGTGTATGTTTGTATATTCACTCTAATAAAACCTTTGTTTTCGATGAAAGATCAGCTGATAAAAATGCATGCGATGAAAACCTCCAAATTCATTCGTGGTATACAACTGGATGCTGCCGACTTAAAGCAAACACTCTGTTTTTATGTAATTCTTTTAACAGAGCTCAGCCTTTTATTAGTTTCTGCTGCAAAGCATTTGTCATCATTGGAGCCTCCTCTACTTGATTTACACCAGAAGACGTTGAAGATTTTATTCATTTTAACACGCAGCTTTATCATTAACACTGTGCTATCTTCGGGAGGACAATACATCTTTGATTTGAAGGGTGGCTTTAGACAGGCTTAAACTCTCCAGAGTACTGCTCTCCAGATGTCTGCTCACATATAAATTCATGTTTTGAAAGATGAAGGTGCTATGATATCATGTGCAATATATCCCTCACTTTGTGTGTATTTAAATGCCTGTGTGTGTGTGTGTTCTTTTTTGAGCAGCACAGCAGCAGTTGTGATTCAGCAATGTTGGAGGAAATACAAGCAGATATGTGGGAACATTAATGCTCCCCCCATCACAGAGAAAGGAGGAGAAAGAGGAGGAGATGGAGGAAAGCCAGAGTCAAGACTTTTCTATATTAATAGGAGCACTGCTGGCAAACACTGTGCGGCAACTGTCATCCAGGTAAAACATTTGTAGCTTGTAGCATTTGTAGCGTCCTAGAACAATTTCCCTCTGAAGATTTCTGGGTAACAACTTAGAACGGTTATCCAGGCGAGTTCATATGAATTCAGTCAGTCAAACTGTTTACTTGTAATAGACCTCATAGCACCATATCACCCCAACAGAGCACTTTGCTCTGAGACTGCTGGCTTGCTTACCTAGGATGTTTTAAAGTAAAACAGGAGGCAGAGCCTTCAGCGTCCAGGCCCGCCTTCTGTGGAACCAGCTACCATTTGGAAGTAGGAGATAGACACCCTCGCTACTTTGAAAATTAGGCTTAAATCTTTCTTTTTTGAATTGGAAATGTTGTAGTACTAAATCCTCCATTTTTATGCTGCAATAGGCCTAGGCTGCTGGGGGCTTCCCAAGGTGCACTTTCTTTTTCATTCACCTTTTTTCACTCACTATGTGTTTACACACCTCTCTGCATTTAATCATTAGTTATTGTTAAACTCTGTCTCTCTCTGCGTCCTTTGTCCTGTGTTCCTCCCCACACCCACAACTTGTGACAGCAGATGGCTGCCCCTCCATGCGCTTGGTTCTGCTGGAGGTTTCTTCCTGTTAAAGTTTTTTTTCCCACTGTCGCCAAATGCTTGCTCATAGGCAGTTGTCTTATTGTTCGCAATTTTCTCTTTATTATTTTAGGATTTTTAGCTTACAGTATTAAGCACCTTGAGGGTATTGTTGTTGAGATTTATATCCATCTATCCACTGGGCCACTGTGGCTATGACGTCTATTTTCATTTCGCAGTTGCAGAATTCAAAGGCAGAGGATTTTTGGTAGCAAAAGCTTTTAGGTTCCTTCTTGTGGCCTGAGATTTATGTGTGTAGCCCAGATGCATTGCTTGATGCTTTGCATTTGCTTTGAACGTAGCCTGGCTACACTAAAATCCCTGAAAGATCGGCTGTTGCTCCTAGAGGATAGCAGAAACTGCTGAATATCACAGATAGCAAATAGTTGATTTGTTCTATTTTGGGTTCATTAATTAGTGAGTTTATAAAAATTTGATAAAAAAGAGTAGGAAAAAACCCCATCAGAGTTTGTCATAGCTTAAGATTATGCGTTGAGAAGAAACTGCTCACATTAACCTTTTATTGTGTAATTAAGGATCTTACTTCTGCATGTAGAAAGTGTGCCTGAAGTCACTTCCTCTTTGTGGATATCTGAAAATGCCAATTTTCATCCTTAAAAACTGAACTTCAGGCCTCATACGTTCTTGAGGCTTATTCGGCTAATCCTCTGCACAGAGGTGTAAGCTGCTCTTCTGAAAAACATGCTACTCATCACCCCTCTCAAATCCCTTTTCAACACACAAAGTGTTTGATGACTCCTTGAGGGCTAGGTAGAGGCTGGGAGTTGCCGTGTACCGTGCACTACAGCACTGTGTAAGTGTAAGTGTGTGTTTTGTGCATGTCAGGGGGGTATAGAGTGATTAATCAGATTCCAAAGACGTGCGGTAGTAAGAGTTCTAAAATTCCTGTGCGGCTCAACTTGAAGTGAAGTGTGCCCCCCCCCTCTGCCCATTGGGAATTGCAGGATTTAGAGGCGCACTGGAGCTCTATTTGTCTCAGAGCAGCCTGGAGTCACACAGAGTTCAGACAGCAGAACACTCAGCAATTAAAAGAGGGGTTAACATGTTTTATCTTCCTAATGGGATAACATGCAATATTTACGTTTGCTCCATGATTCATTGAGCAACTACCATTTCTTTTTCTGGGTACCTCCAGGCATTCTGGAGGGGCTACTCTCTGAGGAGGAGGCTCACATCTGCTCTTGCTGCTGTGACATGCCCCAGTGTTGGAGAGGATGACACCTTTGAGGAGGTGGACATAGATGAATTTGTCTTTGATGAGGTATCTGCACAAGCCTGTATGTTCTTCACTTTCACGATTCGGCAGTTGTTCCCCATCTCGCACCCCATCAGACCAAAAAACCTGCACAGAGGCTAACACATAAATGTAACACATAAATATAGTACTGTATACTTCACTCCAAAGACACTTTATTTGTGGTTTGTTTGTCATTGCCGTCCAGAAATTCAAGTATTTTTCATTTTCATAAAGGCAGCTTTGGAGGAACACTGCACACTGATGCTTTCTCAGGACTCGTCTACCAGACACCAACTTGTGTCAGAGCAGCAATTATCTACGAAGGTAAAGTTTGATATTCTTAAAACCTGGTAGTCCTGACATGATATTCTCTAATACTTTGAAACCTGCTATGCAAATTGTGAATTTTGGGATTAACCATCTTGTGTTATGTCAGTGTTGGAGTTATTTTCTTGCTTGTCTACCTCCCCTCCAGGAATTGTCTCACCCTCCCTTATTGATCTCTAAATTTATTCACTTGGAAAAACAGGATTATTTCCTGGAGGGCTGAAAGTTGCACAGCACCAGCAGATGTCATTTTTCATGCTGGCTGGACTGTCGTCCTGTTTTTTTTCTTCATTTACCTCTTGTTGGATCTTTTCTTTGGAGCGTGCTCAGCGCTGTACATCATGGTAGCCAGTTTAAGCAAGCTGATGTGGTGCAGCTGCTAGCGTGGTCAGCCTCAATATGTTGACACTGAGGCACAGATCAAAGGCAGGGGATGAACAATTTAGCACTTTAACCAAGAGAAAATAGAATCTGGAGAGTAATTAAGCTGTTACTTTGACTTAAATATGAGAATTCCATGATTGTGAACCGTTCACTCGGTCAGCCACATACCTACAACAAAAATAGGCCCCTGAGTTAAGTGTCACTGGATATAATAGTGTAGAATGTAATCACTTCCCCCAAGAGTTACAGATAACTGTAGTGTTATTCCATGAAAAATTAATTAGTATGCCACAACAGACTGCTCAGATTTTTGTAACTATAATGAAAGCATGCACAATTTTACCTTTGTTACAGGTCCTTTAAGTACACAGATGTCAGTTGAAGTTTTCCACTAGTAATCTATGTCTATTTTTTTCCTAGGATTTTTGAGTGTGCTCAAGTTCATAAATACAGGAGAACGCTACATTAGTTTTTCCAGCCTGAAAAACACATTCAATTTTTTAAAAAACTGCAACCAAATCAATTTTGCATAAACTCCAAGTGTCACAGTCTAAAGCTAAAATCCTGCCTTTGTTCAGCGTGGTTTTATCTCCAACCAGCTTTGAGTTTGATGAACAGTATAATAATGAAACATTTAGAAACTGAAAAAGCAAAGCCGCTCCGATTTAATGTCTGTGATGCAGAATAACAGAAATAAAAACACACACTGGTATCCCAGATGTTTTATGTGTATTCTGGTAATTCATTAGGAAAATTACAACAAGTGTGTTTTGGTAACATTTCAAGGTAACAAAAAAAAAAGAAAAGTAACTTAGGCCTGTCATTAATTGATATATGTATTTCAGCCTCCTGGGCCCTGTCTTGATCCCTCCCAGGACATACTCCCCCTACCAAAGCACGCCTGGATGGCTGGGGAACATGTGGACGGTTCTAACAGGTACAACAACCCACAGCCACAGCATTTGAAAAAGCTGTTTATTTTAAGCTTTATATAGATTTTCATAATTATTGTACAAAGTTATATAGGGAAAAAGAAGATAAATAATTTTCATAATAGGACATATAGCAAACAGTGTTGATTTGTGACATTAATATTTTTCGTTAATGCAACTCCAAGTAGAAAAATACAATCTTTGCTAAGCACATTAAAGAGTCGGATGTATCTTAGAAGTTAGAGATTTTAACTGGGTTTACTTTTTCACATATGAAGCTCATGATATGGCGTTTGCTCTTGGAACAAAATACAGACAACCTGAAGTATGTGTTTAAGTGTTTCATGGATAGCAAAATATAAATCTGATATTAAAAATGCAAGGAACAATAATCAAACTGGTCCTAATAATGCAAGATTTTAATGTCATAAGATTTTAGTATAGCATAGAAAAAATGATGATACAGATGTTGAAATTCCACTTTCTGGATATAAAGGAGGATGACACACACACTAAATCACATTTATATTTTTGTTATGGTTGTGATCCACAAAATGTATCCACATATTCAGCTAGCAAAACACTCAAATAAGCAGGTTCACTGAATGACTGTTCAGTTCTCCTCTCTATGATGTTCAGCTGATGTCACTGGTAATCTATAAAGTGGTAATATTTGTTTTCGTTTACTTTTTTACTTGGTGGCATACAAATCATAAAATTCAATGGCTTCCATTGAGGAAAAAAATGAAATGGAAAGGAAAACAAGGCAGCACTGCTCCACTTCCAGCATGCTTGTTATGTTGGTTACAGTTATGTGGATGACAGGTGCATCTTTTGCTACAGACCAGACAACAGTTTTCAGTTTAAGAGTTTGATCAAGCTTCAGTTCAAGAGCTGGAGCAGGAGTGTGCTTTTCCTTTTTTAAATGAACTTTTAGAGGACTGAGACTTTTAAACAATCAAATGTTTAATGCATGTTTTTACTGTAAGATCCCAAGGCATCTGAGAGAACAGTTGCTACTAAAGACCACAGCTGTGGAGCATGCCACCATCAGAGTGCACTGAAAATGTGTTTTTGGCCCCAATAAAGATTGTGTTTGGACACACAAACACAATCTTCAATCACCACTAGCCCTACTCGCCCAGTTTAGCTCCCTTTTTCCTTAAATGAAATGGGTTTCCATTTTGCACATCTTTATTGCACGTCCACTGAGCATAATAATATTAGCAGCCATGCAGGAAAAAATACAGGACAACCTTGACTTAAAGATCAGCCATAATTCAATCCCGAAAGATTTAAATATCTGTAGTCCTGTTGTGAATTTCTGCATCTCAAGTTATGTTTTTAAGGACAATAATTTCTTTATGATTCCAGAAACACATCTCCTACTTCCACCTCAGCGCTTAGTGGTCTCTCTGAAAGATCAGAAAAGATTCTAGAAGAATGGTAAATCATCATCTCCTCCTCACTGCTTGCTGCAACTGTGTGTTGTTAGTAAATGGCAGAACGGCACTTTCTATTTGTCTTTTCTTTCCTTGCCATCTGCAGGGGCTTTACTGACAGCCACACAGCACTTCTGCTGCTGAGGAGAGCTCGGAAGATGAAGTCAAAGAGACAACTGCAAAAGAAGCAAAGGGGTTAGTGTGTTTAAAGTGGGATAGGTGGAAATTTGAGATTTGGACCCTTTGTGTTTGCATGTGTGCTTTTTATGCAGTAGTTCAGGTTTAAAAAAACTATTTTTGTATGTTTTTAGAAAATTCCCCATAGAATTTGAATGCTGTGATTGGAGATTAAACACTGTTGTGGTTTCCTTCTTCAGTCACCTCATATGCAATGCTTCCTTCATTCATTAATCCTTCTACACCTCAGCTGATGTTTCTGTCTTTATATAGTTCACAAAATGGAGATAACTCCTGTTAAGACATAAATCTGTTGTCTAAAAAGGAGAAAGATCTCTCTTCATTCTCATTCTTCAGCCGTGCTTTAGTAGCAGTGAACCTTTCCGCCGCATGTATGTTAATGAGCCATAACAGACAGCAGAAGCCAGGGCTGTCACCTCTCATTGGACTTATTTACGAGCCTGCAAAGGAAATAACTATTGCCAAGAAAGTTCATGACAAGTCGTCTTGTGGCGACTTTCATTCCATTTCATTGTAGTGGTTTAGTGTAACTGTAGTGAAAGGTGACCTCACCTCTGCTCTGTTCCAAGAAACAGTAGTTCTGCCATGGGTATCATGTCATGGTCATGTAATGGGAGGTTGGTCTTTGATCAGACTTTCAAATGCATGATTGCATTAGTGGTGCTCTTGTCATCTTGCTCCATCGACACACAGGTCTTTGTCGGCTTTAACTCCTAATGGCATCTGCCTCAGCTGAACCACAGCGCTGTATTACATATGCACTAATATTTTCTGACTGTTTGATCCTGGTTTTCTGCTTCTGGTTTAAAGCCTGGTGTGTCCTGCTTTGACCTTCTCTTTCTTGCTGTGTTAGATCCCTCCGTCCGACTTGACTTGTTCAGAAATTGTAATTACCAGCTTGGTCCAGCGGAGGCACAAAACACAACAGCACGATACAACAGAAATTATGCAAAAGGTAAGAAAAGAGATCTATGCATATTTTCTAACCCAGTAGTATTTCAAATGCTTGGATTATTTTTAAGAATTTTTAATTTAAATTTAAACTATTTAAGTCTGGTCTGGTCTTAGACTGGACTATTGCAAAGCAGAAGGGGTAGATGGCCTCACATTTGTCTCTAAAATACTGTGATATATAGAGACACTCATGATCAACTCAGTGATTGCAATTTTCAAAGGTCCTGCAACTACAAAACAAGCCCAAATCACCACCCGTCCACCGCCATGCTTAACAGTTGGTGAGAGGTTTTTGTGCTGATATGTTGTGTTTGGTTTTTGCCTGTTGGGCCACTGCGCTTTATGACCCAACATCTCCGCTTTGGTCTCATCAGTCTAAAGGTGAAAGATGTCTTCTGGATGGCTCAAATGTCCACATTCTTTTAAAAGAGAAGAAGCTTTCTTTTGGCAACCCCTCAAAGCCATATTTTTCCAACCTTTTTCTAATTGTACTGTCATGACGGTCAGGGTGTACTTTTCACAGGACTGTATGGCACAACTTTTTTCCAAAGAGTTTTCAGTGTTATGGAAATACAGTGTCAAAAAAAGGCTATGGATTGATTATATGTGGGATAGTGTGATTGGTTGAGAAAAGTCAAAAGCCTCCCTCCACCTTCATCCATATTCTGCTGTGGCCTGGTGCCCTGCCCTGAGGTGCAGAGAGGATTTGGCATTGTGACACACACAGACAGACTTAAAAGGAAGGGAAGCGCTGGAGGGAGAGCATAAGGGAGAGTTGGGGGGGGGGGGGGGGGGGGGGAGTCTGTTTTTATCATGAGGGACTGTCTCCGTCTTTCTTTTGGACCCCACCACCACGTACCAGGGTCAAGGCCTCACATCCATGGAGTAATAGTCTCACGGTCATCCAGCAGTCAGAGGGATGCTGGAACAGCAGCATTTGCCAGCAGAAAGTGAAGCGATCAGTTATAAGACTAACATACTAAAGAATTAGCTGTGAAGACGAAGAGCAGATTTGCCTGTCATTTTATGTTGCAGTCTTAAAAAATAGAACAACCATGATCTTTTTAGCGTAAAAATGTGGCGATTTATATGTGAATGAGTTCTCTTATTTTCATTAATTCTGAAGTTCTTCTGTCAGCAGACACTGTTTTGCCAGCATTACAAGGCATTTTCATCAGGACAGTGACGGACTAACAAATGTTCCCTTTTGGAGTAGGTGGCACAACATTCTTTTCCAATAATTATTTTCCATTGACAATTTATAAAATGCATGAAAAATGGAGCTTGACTATGACAGCATCATCCATCCATTTTCTTCCTCTTATCCAGCTCAGGGTCATGGGGGGAGCTGGAGCTATCTCAGCTGCGTGACAGCATCATTATGTTATCTATTGTTTATTTGAATTGCAGGTGTATTATGTCAACTTTCCAACATTGTGATTGCTGACACTGGAATTATGTGTGAGCATAATACTGCTGTGGATAAACTGTCAGCTAACTGGCAATCGAGGAATAGCTGTATCCCGATAACATATTAAATTACAACAATATTTCCAGCTCTGTTTTTTCCCATAGCTTCATCGCTCCTCCCCACCCTCTTATTGACAGTTTATCAAACGGGACTGATGCTTTTGAGCTAATACAACTGATAAAGTAATGGAAGGATCTCTGGTTAGGGCATTCTCTTTCTTTCCAGTTTATATTCTGTATCCTCAGTCAGTTTTCTGATCTGACAGAAATGTGTAACTCTATCCAGCTTCAGTCTAGGGGAAACGATTCCTACTGTCTTTTTACAGCATTGCTATAAGGCTGGCGAGTGAGGTGCTGTGTCAGTTATTAACTTGTGGTGCTGTGAAGCTGGGTCTCTGTAAAAGGGTCCAGGTTTGACTACATCCTCGCCCCCCTGGTCCTGACCTGTGTAAGACACCCCCTCCTCCGGATTCATCACCAGTGCCCGGGGCCTGGCCAGCCCAGCCCCAGACTGGCCCAGCCAGCGCTCCCCGACAGGGGCTAACGTTTCAGGCCTCGAGTCAAGCTCCTTCTGGAGGTGATTAGCCTCAAACCCATGACAGATTCTTTCCAAGATATCTGACGCTGCATGTTTATTTTATCCGGGCTCTTTGTGTGGATGTGCTGGACATGAGTAACCCACTTGAAATGGGTATCAGTTTACATACCCAGACACGGAGACAGAGAGGGAGAGAATAGTGCAGAGCCACAACAAATTTTCTTCTAAAAGTTTAAAAGAGAATATAAATATACCTTTTCCTTATTATTTGCATCTTTTGCATGTGTCTGGGGTGCTGCAGATGTTGACAGTGTGGTGTGCCTCTAAGGAATTCTCCTAATTTCTACTCTTAATTACCACTCAACCCCTCCAGATGCGCGCACAGATACACACACACACACACACACACACACACACACACACACACACACACACACATACATATCCATACATATACACACAGAGTTCTAATCATCCTCTTCCATCCAAACTGAGATCCAACCCCACCAAACATCCGTCCTCGTGTCTCAGGGACACAATGATATATATTTTTGTTTCAGCCTGGTTCCCCTACCTCCTGAGCATTTAACTTGATTTCACACTTGATGTCATCAACAAAGTCAAACTGAAACACAATCATTTTGTTTATCATTGATCAGTCAAAATAGCTTAGGCTGTTCCCCACCATTCATATGCATCCAATTTCAGCCCCGTAATCTCTAAGCTTCTATTTATCTCGTGCAGTGGAGCCTCTCTCCTCATACTACATGACTGAGGCGCATTGGCACACTTCAGAAACGAGCTGAGCCAATGTGCATTGGGCCATCAGTCATTCACAGAGTCAGACATCTAACTAAAACCACCGAGTTGCTAAAATGTCACACATTTCACTTAGCAAATGCCTAAAAAAAAAGGATTATAAAATACTTTTCTATATTTCTTTTTCATTTTTTTCCTACATTTTCCAACATTAGCCATCTGCACAAAACAGAAAACGTATGCACTTTAGCCGTCTTATTAATTTAAATTCATGTTACTTACAGAAGGTCCCTTACAAGTCTCCAGTAATCGAGAAACACATTAATCTGTCAAGTTAGAAGTCCTTTCAGGAGCAGTGCCTGAAAATGTGGGAACTAAACATTTACATTTTTAATTTCTAATGTGTTTGGATAATATGCAATTTGAACTGGTTCTCTTCAAGTATCGTCACAAACATTTTCCTGTCAGTGTTCCAGTGTTTTTACAAAGTTAACAAATGGATCTTAGAATGCTTTTAGATCAAAAGATGATTAGCGTGTATGAATTGCTCCATCCTACTGTGGTCTGTTTCATGTTTTAGCAGACCAAAACCAGCCAATATGTTTGCAAGAGACAACTTCATTTTACAGACCTTATTGTGATTCAGATTAACTTCAGTGACATGTTTGTAGAATCATTTAGAGTCAAGTCGCCTAATGCATGAAACCAAGTTTTAGGGGTTAGAAAAGCTTTACATCTCTGGTGGATAGATGTTCTAATCCACAGATGTGCAGTGTTATTCCATCTCACACTTTTACATTTAGATTTGTTTTGTGACACAGCATGTGTAGAAAAGATGAAGATTCAGGTTTTCGACCTAAAACGGCTTTAAACATGCATTTTTTTTTCTCATTGCCAAAAGGAGAGGGACTCTTCTGGCTGCTCCAGAATTTATAAAAAATCGATAAAAGATTTCTAAAAAATCTACTACTTACTTGATTCATGACCTCAGTGAAGGGTTTCTTAATGAGTATATGGTCTCAAATGCTAGTTTGAGTCTGACTGAGTACAACTTGATGTCCATTTTTATAAAAGGAATATAATGCAACGTATTCTTCAGTGTGGGCCTCCTGCTTGATTGATAAATCACTACAGTGTCTTTAGTTGGCTTCAAAAAACCAAGATTGCCAAGTCATCCACAAACTATGGGCATCTTTTATCTATGGTTTATGCCTGAAGGACAAATCAAGAATCCTCTGACTTTAAAATATGTCTGTTATAAAGTGACTTGGTTGTTAAACTTGCTATATTTGTGCACGTGCACAGTTTTACTCTTGACACAACTGTCCTTTAAGGTCACTATCATTTGTTTAGGAGTTTTTTGTTTTTTTTTCTACTTGTTATTGGTACTGGTACTGACTCTTTGCAGGACTCAGTGTTTTTTGTTCCTTTAGTGAGGTTCGAGGAGAGGAGACTACTTAGTGACAACATCATCTCTCCTTCATCTCTGCTTTGCTGCAGGCCAAAACCTGAATGCTACTCCTCCTCCCCGGCGCTCTGATATTGACGAGATCCCCTAATGTGGTTAAAAGCCCCCCTTAACAGGCATGACTTTTACAGGCCCCCCTCATGATGTCCTGGAGGAGTACTCAAGGGGGATTGAGGAGGTTGAAGGAGGTCAGGAGGAAGCTCTAGTAGGGGGTTCTGAGGGGGAAATGGAGAGAAGAAATCTCTCCATGCTGCTCAAGTACATCAAACTAAATGATTTTTTTTCGTGGTTCTTATCTTGCATCAGTGTGTACAGATTTCTGTGCATGTGTTTACCTACCCTTTGTAATCACTGTATTTACTCTACGCGAGCAGGCTGGTGTTTGAAAACTGATATCTGGACTTCTCATGCACCATCTCTCCCTCTTTCTCTCTCAACTTCGGGAAGTGCAAGTAGCCATATCCTGCCCTTTGCTGGCCCAGGGGAGGCATCTATCACTTGACGTTTTTAGTGTGGCTTCTCAATTAACCCATGAAAACTGTAAAGCTCTTTTCTTCTTTTTACAGCTCAGCAAAAGCAAGTGAATGGCTTAAATAAATGCGTCATTAGTTCCAGCACTGGCCTGTCAAAATAAATTATCAGTTTACACCCATCTAAGGCAGCATTACTGTCAGTACAACCTAAATGTTTATTTTGAATTACGACCTTATTATGGGATTTCAGCATAACCCGTAAATCACCGGCCTCTTGGATTTTTCACTTTCACAAACTTTTGAAACATTGCTTGGATTCAATTTTACAAAAAAAAAAACAAGTCACTGCCATTGTTGGAACAAAATGAGGCCTTTCCTGTTGCAACTTTCAGCAGTGCTACATGAATTATTACACCACCTTCTGCCCTAACATGACTTTGACCACTAATCTGTCCCGTTGAGGGAAAGCTGGCACGCTGTAATGGCAGTAAAACGTGTCAAACTTTGCCACAGAACAGGCCCTGCAGTTGTTTATTTGTTCAGCTTGAACATTTGTAAGCATCTGTTAACACAAGCCTTGTCCTTTCATTTAGACTCATGCTATCTTCTCCACAGCACACGGTGATGAGGCAGTTATTTCTTTATTGCCACTGTTGTCAAAAATGTTACCTAACCAACAAACTGAAAAAATAACAGCCTGTGACCCTTTATTTCATTTCTTCTGTTGAGTGCAGCTGGTGGGGCTAAGACGGGCCATCAGCAGGCAGAGAGGACAGAGCAAGTTAAACAAGATCAAACTCAGCAGTGGCTCCATACCCAGGCCACTCATGGGCATTCAGACAGGTGAGCTATTTAATGTAGATCATAAGGTGATGAAGGTGGTGTTTATGCATCTATCTGTATCGATTCACCTTAAGACCTGCGCTGTATCATTCTAAAATAAAATATTCCAGTGCACTGAGAATGACATATTAACTTAATTGATTAACTTATTAAATAATTTCCCCCAGGGATCAATAAAGTATTCTGATTCTGCTGAATCAGGGAGATGACAGAAACAAGTCAGTGTGTAGGCCTGTGCTATCCCTGCCCTATTTAAAAAAAACAGACATAATCCATATAATTTGTTTCTTTTTTAAAAATTTAATATGAGTTTTTTGCTTGGAAATGGAGCCTGCAATAGAGAGTTAATCACTGAATTGGTGTGAAGCATGCAGAACACTAATCATCTAAGCATTTTGTGTTTTGTCCTCAGTGATCATTTCTTACCGGACATAAACTCATCCATTCTGAACGGAGGCAGAGTGCAGCTCGTAGTGAGTATCGGTCCCCCCAGCCATGCTGTTTCCCCCCCTTGATTTGAATCTTTTTTGTGGCGCAGTTGCATGCATGTAAAGCTATGTAGTATTTACATTTACCAGTCAGAGTCACATCCCACACCGTAGGTCCTCTTCCTTGGAGTCTGTCTCATCAACTTTGATTTAAAGGAGGAAGGGGCGGGGGGAGTCTGAGGTTTAGCTCTGTAGTGACACTTTCAATTGGATCAAGTGGGCGCGATTTCTTAATTTCACTTGTTGAAATCCCAGTGTCACATTGGAGCAGTTTGTTTAGACCTGAGAACGATGCTGATGGTTGTGAAGTCTTTGAAGTCACAAACCACAGGTCTCCTCGTGCCATTATGGAGCAGTGTGACTTATGTTTACTGGCAAGAGGGGCCGCCCCTTTCCTCCAGTTTCTTAGATATATCCTCTGACTGCAGAGCTGCTGGGTTGTTGATTTTCAGAATGTTCGACTACTTGCGTGAGATGTTTCATTTTGGGCCTCATTTGTGTGTGTGTGTGTGTCTGTTTCTGTGTGTGGTGCATGCAGGCTAACCCAGCATATGCAGATTGTCTAAATCACACCAGTGGACTGTGGACGAACAGCAATTTGGTTGGCCAGGGTTGCAAAGTGAACAGTTATACCCGTAGAACCTCCTCCAGTCATGCAAGTGAGTCTTGTAAACTTGTAAACTGCTTTTCTCCACAACATCACAGTGATACTGGGAATAATGAACTGGTCTTTCAGCAGAGTGTAAAAAATATCTGTATGTATGTGAAGTAAAAAACCCAACTCTCCTTACAGAAGTGTTTCCCTTAGTTTTTTTTTTTTTTAACACATATAATTTTTAACACATATAATTTATAGCAAATTTAGAGATGTATATATATTTAAAACTCATTATGTATGCAAAATGTATTTTTATGCAAATGTGTTAATTATTACAATTCTAGAAAGTTGCCCTTAACTTGAAACCAAGTTCTGACTTAAAAATAACAATTAAGAAAAGGACCAATAAACATATGAGCTCACTGTCACATATATCTCTATATTCTCCTGTTAGCAGTCACAGAGAGAAAAGCACAGGCTCAAATTCAAACTCTTCAAAATCTTTTGGCAGGGGTGCACATAACTGTGTGTTTATTACATGTGATCTCTTTAGGTTTGCATAGTTGCACCTATGACTACTGGGCCACACAGATCTGAGTGCGCAGAGCCAGGGATAAAGACCGCTGCTTATTCAGCCTAGACCGAGTCCGCTGGTCGTCTGCTGCGGGAGGGGAGGGGAGCCACAAGGTCGGGCTGGGGACAGAGTGTCGTGAAATTTTCCTCTGACAGGAAACAGGCAGCGAGGGAGAGAAAAAAAATCAGTCCTTTCAGTGAAGAATGACTGGCCCTTCTGTCAGGAGTAGTGGGGCTCAGGAGTTTGAGTGACAAAGATGCTACTGACAGGCTGACAAGCAGATGACCACATTAAACAAGCCCAGGAATCTGAGTGAAGGAGAGCCCTGTCCATGTTAACGAAGCCAAATTGGATTCCGATGATGATTTCAAAATGATATCCACGAGGTGCAGCAGCAGGAACGAGCATTTCCCTGTTAGGCAGGCAGACTCTACGGGGAGTGTGGCCGGGAGAAAGAAAGCCTCTTTGTCCGCACTGATCAAAACATCCATTATCAAAATTGTGAAGGACAAATTGAAATATGGATGTATGTGTAAGGAAAGAATATTTCTTGAAAAGCCAATTAGATATTTTATAAACTTGGAAAGGGTATCTAATGGTCCCAGTGGTCATCAAAAAGTCATGGCTTGGAAATTCCTTATGGAGTAAAATCAGGGAACGCAGCTTCTTTGATGTAAATCTTCATACTGAGCCTACGTGATCCTGCAAAAAAGTGTGACTAACAATCGCCTTCGCCTGTAAAGGGGCATACATCATCAAGGTGGGGGTTTAAAGTTAGAGGGTTCACTTAGTTTGGTATAGCAGTAAAGACTACATAAATAGTCTATAACCTGTTGCAATGCGATACTCACCTCTTGCCGGGACAGTACCATAAAATGCATTTCTCGGCTCACACAATATTTTCATTACGTGTGCAGAGGAAACTACTTAAGTTAAGCTCCTCTTGCAACTCTAATAGGAGTAAGATGACTGAAAACAATTTGTTTGGTCACAGTGGTTTGTTAAAATGAGCAGTTTAAACAAAAATAAAACTCTGTACTGTTAATAACAGCAGTGCTATTAGGAAAACATGCAGCAAAAGTTCAGTGTTTATTACACTGAACTTTTAGTGCAGTAATGCTTCTGATTTCAAACGCATTACTGCACAAAGTTCCTTAATATACTGAGCCACCAAAGCTGACCTGGAAATAAACACCAAAACACTGTGTATTAAGAGAGACCACGAGGAAAGGAAAATCGCAGTGTTAGGCCAACAGACTTGAACAAAATCAAAACTTAGAGATGTGTGATTATGTGTGACTTGTGAGCGGATGGTTATTCTATACAGTTTGCCAGCTGTGCGGATATTTGGGGCTAGCATAGAACGTGCGATGCATCCCAGCCCTCCCACCTAAAGAGCGCTTCATGCTGTTGGACTCCCTGTGTGAGGCAGCCGTGCTGACTGTGGGTTTGCGCTCTACACGTGGAATGCATCATACCCTGTAGAAGCGCTGCCTTTGTTCTGTATGTTTGAAAAGCTTTGTACTGATCCCCAGGTGAAAGTGGAACGGCCTGTGATACAGCACACACACTGCTCCCGAGAGGCACCGAACAACCCGCCTGCTCACACTTAAGTCTTTAGTGTGAGATTTAATGCAGCACCATTTCGAGTATTTTGAGTCACACAAAATTGATGCTCAATTTTCAAAACATGTATATTAAGTACATATTACAAATCCTCATATTTTAACCTACTTAACACTGCATCATTAGTTAAAGCTTTTATATTTACTTTTATGCCATGCATTTTTAAGTAGGGCGGGGTAAGTTGTCACACTTTTCACACTGACTAACTTTTACTGAGCACCATACATCACAACGTAATAAATGTTTCACCAAATGAAAGAAGGAAGTCTCGGGCACATATGATGTATTCATTACATTTTCATATCTTATCTCATTACGGAGTTGTAGACTGTTGAATGGAGAATGTGCACTTGTGACAATTTGCCCCATCGGCAGGTAAGTTGTCACACTAGATTATCTTAAAATAAGAACACAAATACTTAATTGTGATTATTGATTTTAATTGTTAAATTCAAACCAAAACTGGAAATTTGAACAATTATGCCAAGAGAATTTGGAAAAAAACAATTATTTCAATCCAATACACATTTTAATCAAAACATTAAGTAGAAAGAAAACTTTAGTTTGAACTTTAAACTCAAATGTTCTCTGGCTTGCACATAAATCCATCATCCATGAATGGAATGCTGCAAATAACTTGCTTTACTTAACATGTTTATCCTCTGAACAAAACAGATGCCCTATTTCTGATTAATCAGACTCAACTTCAGAGTCACAATTCTGGCACACATAAATTGCCTGGCCTGAGGTGCAAGCATCATGGGCCCATTTGTTGCATTTTACCCAGGTCTCTTTTGGACGACTGTTTGAAAATGGCTCCACACAGACAAGGCAGAAGCACTCTTCATCATCTGATGACTCTTGAATTATTTTTCTTCTTTTAGCTGCGTTGTTCTTCATAGGTCCAGATGTTTTCCCCCCTTGCGTCCCTCTCTTTTGAAACAGCTTTTTGCTAGATTCAGCCTTATTCTTTTCTTTTTCTAGTTGCTGCTTCACTGGTGTGTCGGTTAGAATTGCTGATTTGCGTCGTTTTCTTCCTTTGCCGGATGGTTTTCGGCGGCCAGCTTTTGGATATGGCTGGATGTCCTCTGGAGTTGGTAGTCCACTGTCAGTAATTGCCAGCACTGCAATTACTGACAGTGGACTACCAAGTTATTACAAATACAAATGAATTACAATATCACAATTTTTTGGAGCATTTATTTGTACTGGGGCAAGTTGTCACATGTGACGACTTGCCCCAAATTTAATGAGACAACTTGCCCCAAACTGACATTTATGCTAATTTTGGCTAAATGTCAGGGTTAGCTCAACATAGCACATCAGCTGAAGTATCAAAAGACACGTTAATGTCTCCTCTATTTTGTGTAAAATAATAATTTGTAACATCTATACCTAACAAAGTTGTACTGAAGAAAATTTAAAGTGATTTATTTTTCCTTTTAGGTCAAAAAAATAAAAAAGATGTGCTCACCTCAGATTAGAGCAGTCTTGACCACATGTGAACAGGAGGTTGACTATAGAAGAAGAAGTCACACAAAGTGGCTATTTCATTTTTGAGATAGAGCCTCTAGTGTTGGAGTTATGAACAGTGTGAGAACTTACCCGTGTGACAACTTACCCCGCTCTCCCCTACTTAACAATTTCTATAATGTGACCCTGGCAAACTAACATGACGTTGTGTGTTGCAAAGATAGCCTTCCCTCTAGAAAACTATGTTATGAAATTAATAATAACCCATGTTAATAAATTCTATAAAATATGTGAGCAGACACAGAAGTACAAAATGAGTTCTCGGTGTCAACTGTTGTTTAAAAACACATATAGTATGAGTCAGCAAAGTAAATTCACTCTGCTTGTTTTGAATGTTAAATACTGATGCCGTCTTCTTCCATTTTGTCTCCAGGAAAAGAAGTCCCATCTCCCGCGCGAGTCACGTCTGCCCCGTCAAAAAAGGAGCGTATCTCCTTCCGTGACAACCCGGTTCAGCTGAGCGGTGGCTGGGGAGGAGGCAAGAAAAGGGACAGAGTGCGCAAGTAAAAACACAAAGCCTCCTTCCAGAGGTCACCACTTTTCCTGCCCTTGCTCTGCAGCCTCTAATAGATGCAGTTGCAGCTTTCTTATATGTACTTCGATGCATTTCGCGTCAAAAGATTATTAAAATATGCGTTGGAAGAGCTCACGTGGATACTTTAGAAAATTTTTAGCTATTAAAATTCGATGTGATTTTCCTTTGCCGGTCAGCTTGATTTTTAATGCTGTTTTATTGCCTGCACTAAGATGGAAAAGCAGATGAAAACTCAAGACTCCCTTTTCTGTAAATTAATTAAGGCCAACAGGACTCAGACCAGCCCAAATATCTGCAGGCGGTTCTATTATGTTCATTCAAGTATCAAATGCTGTGTTCTCAAGTATCATTGCCCAAACCTCACTGCATCCAACTAGCACCAAAACACATGGAACAAAGTCACAAATGTTGAGTGGATGACATGCTTCATATGCAAATGATGGCAGGAAATAAGAACCAGGACTTTTAATGCCTGTTTCTTAGGATGCTGTCATTTTGCCTCCATGCAGATTTTAAATACAGATTGTAGCTATGAGATCAGTCTTACCCTTTTCCAATTTTCTGTTGCTTTCTCAGAGCAGACTTTATGAAAGTGCAGAATTTTAGTTTGACTGCCCTGTATTTGCGTTTAACACTTGCTAACCAAAAGTGCACGTGAAATGACTGCATTTATGTTCTCAGCATAAACGTTGGTGTTAGATTTGCAACACTGTTTTCTTTATCTTCTGCTGTGGATCGTAATGGCCTTTTCTGTGTATTTGAATTTGGAGAGCCAAGGCGTCCGTCCACAAACACAAGCCCTACTGAAGGCAGTGAACATCAGGCTTGAAGGTTCCTTGCTGAAAATGATAAGTTAATGAATGTCAAAACAAATAGTCAGAGTTGCAGAGTGGCTCCCTGGAAGGAAATGCATGTCGGCCTGTTTATTTTCCTTCTGTCTTTCACTTAAGCATGGCTTGAGGCTGTGTTTTGACTGTACACGATCTGATGGGGATTTTTGTCTTGGAGAGTGGCGCATGCCAGAGATGTGGTGGTCCTGCCCACTTGGGGGCTGTTGTGAAACTGGAGAGCACTGTTCTCCTGCAGCGGGGAGACTGATTCTTCTAGTTGCTTTTTTGTAGACTGTGATCATACCAGTACTGCATACTGCATATGCTTTACAGACAGGTGTGCGTGGCCTATCTGTGCCTATGTCTTGTCACTAGTATTACTTGACACAAGTTCAGATTTGCCATTAGAGCTGTTTTCTGCAGCTTCCTATTCTGAAGGGATGTTGTTAAGCTGTAATCTACCACTTTTCATTTCATTTGTTTACGTTTGGATTATGGGTAAATTATATGTAACCTAAGAGATCCAAAACCCATTGCCTTGTAAAATGAGAGCTCCACTGCACATTTAGATAAGACCAAGAATGTCCCTCTCAGCCTCGTCTGCCATGTCAATGGGACTCTGCATCCAGATCTCTCCAAGTGCTCTCTTTAAATGCATTGAAGTCCATAAAACCACATTTCCATGTTTTCACTACAATTTGCAAATTTTGCACATTTTTGCTGAACATTTTTGAAGTACGCTGTGGAGTTATAACCAATTCCTGGCAGCTTTTAGGTTCCTATGCATTTCTGAATATTTGAAAATGAATTAACAGACACGTGAAATGTTAACTTTGGCCAGTGGTTTCAATTTAAAGAAAGCAGTGGCTATCTGGAAAGATTTCTCAAGAACACTGGTGTACTTGCAGAATAATTCACTGTGATGTTAAAATAGTTAAAACATGAGAAACACACAGGCCTTTAAATGTGTAGGAGGTTTTTGGTGGTCCAACTAATGCAAATAAAGAAAGCTGTGGTGAGGTAATGCAGGATAAGGGTGTGGCGTGACCTTGACATCAAATTTCTGTGTTGCAAGAAAATAATATATATTCTGAAGTGATTACATTTTTTTTAGTCAATATTAAATCTTAAAGAGTTTGAATTGTATGTACATTCTTTAAAAGGGACCTTAATTTTGCAGAGATATATTGCGCTACTTAAAAATGCTTTAGAATGTAAAACCCTTATTGATAAAAATGACAGAGGAGTTGGATTCTATTTATTTCTACTTTATTAGTAACTCTGTCAGAGTAAGAACATATTGTGCAAGCTGCCCTCTAAAAAGGAAAATGGAAATGTTTTCATTATCAAATGTATCATTAAATGAACGTTTAGACACACTTTTTATGTCTGTTTTTTTATGATGACTCGAAATATAAGATGTGTTTTATGAAGAAGTAAATAAGAAACACAATTTTTGTATTGTAATAATAATTGATGTGATATGATTTTGTTTGTTAAATTTGGTTTGATAATGCCTAAACTGCCTTTTCCTTTGCTGCTGGTTTCAGCAGTTTACTACAATAATAATGGTTTATGTGGTGTTTTGTGCTTTTATAAGTACTTGATGTCTTTTAGCATCTCCCATGACACAGAGGTCATAGAGACTGTTTTGCTGTTCACTGATTATTTTTTTTGTTAAGCCTAAACCTTTTAGATATGTTTCAAGTATTAGGAAAAATATATTAATTTATTAATGTATCAATTGATTAATCATATGCGAAATTTATAGTCTACAAAAAAAAACCCTTCACAATGACAAGACGAAGAAGAATGAATTTCCCATTTATAATTTCCCTGATATATAAAAAAGCATACACTATTATAAACAATGTATTTAACATTTCCTTTACCCTTGTACTGTACCATAGCATTCGATTACTTAACTGGACGGTTTGCAGTGGTTTCAGTCATATAGGGGGCCTGTGCAACATGTTAACATGAACTCAGAAGACTTAGTGAAATCACTGAGACTTGAAGCTTGTTAGTGCTCAGGAATGCCTGACTATGGAAAAGCAAATGGAAAACAAAATGAAAACAAACTTTCGTGACGCTGATGCACTGCTTTCACTTTCTGAAATTCAGCCAAATGTTCTGCAGACTCGAGTGGCATCAATAAGCTCACAGTTTGTGCTTTTGGGGAAAATAAACTTTGGTCTTTTTCTGTGTGTGTTTCATGCAGCCAAAGTTTGAAGACATTTCGTTAAATTGAATTATACCCAAGGGTAGCTTTGGGCATCATGATGTCATGTTTATGCCTTCTGAAGTGGCAGATTTTGGCCTGTTCAGTTTCAGCTTTTTTGAGTGTTTGATCATGTTCAGTCACATTAAGGCTCAAAAGGTTGAGAATTAGTTCAATTCAATCATATATTTTAGAATTGTCTTTTTTTAAAGTCAAGTTGTAGGTCTTTCAAGGTTGCTCACATGACATTGGCAGCAGTACTTATAGAATTAGCCTGACTGATCAACTCATGACCAGCTTCTCCACTTTTGCAGAACCATGCAGGAGCTATTGTGGCTGGAATTTCCAGCAGAAAGCCCACCAAACCACAGTGAACTTTTAACATTTTCTCCACAGCATGAGCCAGTGTGCAAGGTCATCGTAGGAAGGCTAAGACACCCCCTGCTACTTAGGAGCACACCTATTTATTTTTATTTTTTCTCCTGTGGCACCATGCAGCCCCAGGTAACTGCCACTGACCCTCGAGCGAACCAAAGCTATGCATGGTGTGCATCGCAGGTGGTGTAGCTCAGGGTGGAGATGTGGAGGTGGAAGATGGGCTTTGGTTAGCGGTAATATAATTCTTACAATAAGAAAATACAGAAGAACAACTCTTCCTGTTCTTTTTTTTTTGGTGAAAAACTCGCAGCTGGGTCCTGTGTGTGTGTGTGTGTGTGTGTGTGTGTGTGTGTGTGTGTGTGTGTGTGTGTGTGTGTGTGTGTGTGTGTGTGAGGGCTTAATGAAACTAAACTTTCCCGGATGTTTCAATTAAGAAAAACAGGAATGATCAATATTCCAGTAATGGAACTTTTTAAGTTTATTGCTAAAGTTCATAAAATCCTCTTTTCACCCAGCAGACAACAGTGGCATCCTACTCTAATTAGAGAGCATAGTTTTAGGCTTTTAGTCCAACTGAAAAGAATTTCTCGTCTTATGCTTTTAAAAAGTTTTCAGTTGGTTTTGCAAGCATCAAGCAGCAGCTTCATGCAGGTTTGCAGCCGTAATATTAGATTCTTATTACAAAGCAATGAAGTGCACAAGATCCTCCGCGCAGCTCGAAATGTAATTTAAAGTTTAGCTATAAAAATAAAACTTACTCTAAAGCCACCAGATATGACATTTACATTATTATCGTGTTAGAATAATAATAATAATAAAACCACTTCTTAAAATCCATATTTTGATCACGTAAAAGAGAAAGTCTGGAATGTGCCACGGTGTTAATAAAGATCTGTTTTTGGGTGCAAATAAATGAAAAAAAGAAGAGAAATCTTGCATTGGGTTTTCAGAAGGATTTGAAATAAGCAGATTAAAAAATAATAATAATAATAATAATAACAATTTACCCGACAAGGACGAACGCATTTTCCACCTTCCTGTTTTAATAATTAAATATGATTGATTATTTTACTTCGTCACATGACAGATTCGCAAATGTCAAATCTGCTTTATATCGTTTTTACTAGTTTGAAGTTTCAGAAATGATCTTTTCTTTAAAATGGTAATAAATCAATCCTCCGAACTTAAATGACTTACTGCAAAATATAACAAACTTATTTATATGTTCACGCCAATGAAATCTCCTCATTTTGAGAACATCTGACTGTTGACTTCCTTCTGCTGCCTACAGGTTAAAATATCCCTCCAAATAAATAAATCACGAGCAGAGTTCTTACAACATTTCCAAAGACACGAATTAAATCCCATTTTCAGCTGAAAGGTTTAGCTGTAGAAAAATTATTGCCTCATTTTGGACGTCTAAACATGCTGTAAATTAAAGCCACTTTTGATTGTTTCCTCGAATTCGTTGTGGGTCTCCAATCACTTTAAACTGCTGTTTGGTTTGGATTCAGGGCGTAGGAGGAGTGGGAGGAGGGCGCTTTTTCATATTCAGAGAGGGGGTGCTCTTTAAGGATCTCGTTCTCTTTGGGGCTATAAAGACGTTGTGCCTTCAAGACAGAGCAAATTATCTTCATCGGCGAATTATTGCTTTACAAGTCGTCTCTACTCGTCGGTGCGCGAAGCGATTAGTTTCTCTTTTTTCTTTTTTTTTTTAGTGACATTTGATTAGAGCGAGCGGTTTTCGGTGAAAATGATGGAATACATGGAGGATAAATTTGCCTTGAAAAGCCAAGCGATGAAGGCCAGCGATTACTACATGGATCAAGTCATGGAGAGCCTGGACAGCGCGCAGTACTTCACCAAGTCTCCACCAAAATGTGTGCAGGCCTTCGGGCTGCAGAGCGGCGAGCACCGCTCCTCTCCCTGCGGGGATCAAACCCGTGAGTACGCTCATTTTTGCAAAGTCAAAGTTATCCCGCAAATGTGTGCGCGAGTTAAACGAGTTAAGCGAGAGAGAGAGAGAGAGAGAGAGAGGGGGGGGAAGCTTACATTCCCCGAAGTCGATCTTTTCAATGACGTTTAGTTTTATTCTCCTACTTATTAATTACAATTTCTTTTGGATTTTTATTTTAATTTTTTAAATCGAATCTATTTTTTTTTTTTTAACATTATCTGATATGTAAAATAATTTAATTTAATCTCCAATACAGGCTAGTAGGTTGCATATTTTGGTGCAGTGACTAGCAAATTGAGACTGTTGTTGTTAACTTATCACTTATTTGTATTGTAGCCAGTTACAGTGTGCCAAAAACAGATGAAGACACCTTGCACTCTGACCTCGGGAGGCCCATGGACGGTTGTTGCACTCTGCGGGCGTCTCCGGTGACCACCGGCTCGGAGAAAACCGATTTGGATGACATGGGAGACAAGTGCGACAGTAACGTGTCCAGCAGCAAGAAGAGGAGACACCGGACGACCTTCACCAGCGCGCAGCTCGAGGAGTTGGAGAAAGTGTTTCAGAAGACACACTATCCAGATGTTTATGTGAGGGAACAGCTGGCAATGAGGACAGAATTAACAGAGGCTAGAGTGCAGGTAGAGTTTACGGACCGACTCGTTTTTGCTTAAACATAATGAGAACAGGAGCCTTTAAGCGCTGAAAGGCGTAGCCTAGTACGGCAGCGGGCGTTAATATCCAAACCCATACAGCCTATGTATACGTGAATATATAAGCATAAAGGTTTTGATAGTTGAAATACATTTTCATGTTTCTTTTAATTTTTTGTTTGAATGTTGCAACTTTGTTATTTTCTGTTGTCCCGTTTTTTGGTTTTTTTTGTTTTTTTTTTTAAATAGATTGGCTACTTTTCTGTCTTTCTGAGCCTTTGGGAAAAATAATATTAATAAATGTAAACATATTTTATATTTCTGTCTTTTTTCTTTTACTTAAAAGGTGTGGTTTCAAAACAGAAGGGCAAAGTGGAGGAAAAGAGAGCGCTACGGGCAAATCCAGCAAGCCAAAAGTCACTTTGCAGCCGCCTACGATTTATCCGTGCTACCGAGGACAGACAGCTACACACAGGCAAGTATTGAGAATTTAATTTTATTTTATTCATTTTAAGCATTCATGGACTTTATTCTCAGCGTCAAAAGAAAATGAGTTTCTTTGTCAGCTGCATGGGCTGGAGGCAGTACTGTGCTTTATAAAGAATATGAACTCTTTACTCTCACTCCTTTCTAAGCATCTCAGTTATGTAGGTCACTTCAAACTTAAATTAGTGCTTCGGCCACGATTGCTCGATAAATCACTAATTATGAAACCCATCTTCAGATAGGAGCCTGAACACTGATTCGAGTCGCTGTGAGGCGTCATGTCTGAATGAATGAGCTTATATCAGATTGCATGTTGGCTGAGCATTTGTCTTGCTGTTTGGACAAAGGTCAGTTACAAGATGAGAGGAGGTGAGAAGAGAAGAGATGCAGAATGTCAGTGTTTTTTGTGTCTTTTTCTCCTTTTGTTAGGTGTTACATTAAAAACGGACATCTGGCCTTCAAGTGTTGTGGAGACTTTTAGGTTTTCAGAGATGTAAATATGCACACAGCAGCTCTGTAGAGAGATTCGCATTTACACTCTGAGTTTGAGAAAAACAAAAACAAAACAGCTGATGTGTTTGATTCCAAGAGGCAAAAATAATAAAATGTAGTAAAAGGCAGAGTCACAGCTCTGCTATACCCTGGCCGAACACCAGGTTAGAATTCTGTTGGACT